TAGCTTGGATTACGATTGTGAGCTCCTGGCACGTGAATTTCATGGGAATTTTAGAATAATTAGTGTGATTATTTTTCTTGAGTCAACGATAAATTATAATCTTCTAATATAACATGGGCTTGATGCTAAGCCATCTATTAACTTCACATTTTGCAAATACTCACACAATACAAAAGTTAATACCAATTTTAGCCATCAGTTTTACACAGGAGTGCAATCATCAATTAATATTTTTTTCCCAGTAAGTCTTTCATTGTTCATACAAACTGGTATTATTTATCTCTTTCTTTATGAAAATACAATTCATTTTCAGAACAGTATTGCACATGAATGAATAATACACTAAAAACATTCCTGTTGCAACTTGGGCTGGTGGGTCCAGAGCATATTATCAGGACCAACCTTCGGAAAGAAAGTTGGAACTTTGTAGTTAGGATGTAGGTTAGATATATGATTCAACACGAATATTTACATGAAATCATGGTAAAGAAAGTCTACATGTGAATCTCAGCATTTTCTATTCATATTGGAATGTGTAGAGACTCTAAAAGTCTCAAGGAATCAACGTAGGAGGACCAATCAATTACATGATATATTATAGTGGAAATATCTGACAATATAAAGAGACTGTTCGTTCTTCCAGATAGTGACAAATGCAAATAAGGAAACATATCCTTGCTTTTATATTTCTACCTTTTTCCAAAAGCGTTCATGGCAGGAAAGTGGGAGCCTATGTATCAAAATTAGAGGAATTATCAATGACTCTATTTTGTGACTGTGGCTATGCTGTTGTCCGGGCACAAAACTACTTTACAAGAAACTGAATGTCAGTATAGTCATTGAGAATTAGTTGCATGTCTCCATTTTAGAGGGATCATAATTTCTCTAACATCAATCAGTTCATGGACATTTACCTCAGAAAACTGTGATAGGTGAGAATCCAGTTTGGGACAGTATATCACATAGCTCCCTGTCATACTCAATTTAGTATTGCCACAAAGGAAAAGGTTCATGTGCACTTTAGGCCTAAATGTTCTTAGTTCAAATTAAAAATATTCATAGTTGCTTAAATATCAACTACTAGAATACAAATTAAGTGACTTTTTACTATTTCTTCAAGAGCTATACTATAATATCAAGTTATAGTTTACAAATATATGCAATGTGTACTATTTGTAAATGTCAATATCATTAGGCAAATTCTATGAAGAAAATCAGTCAAAGTCTACTCCATCTGTACAATGTGCTGAATTCCTTCATACCTCTTGTCTAAATTTGTCTTTATTACTTTTAGTTGATCATGTTTTTAGTAAAAGTGTCTTGTATATATATATTTTTTGGGGGGTCTGGTCGCGGGGCCTGAACTCTGGGCCTGGGCGCTGTCCCTCAGCTCTTCAGCTCAAGGCTAGCTCTCTACCACTTGAGTCACAGTGCCACTTCCGGCTTTTTTTCTTTTTGCTTATGTGGTGCTGAGGAATCGAACCCAGGGCCTCATGCATTGTAAGGCAAGCGCTCTACCACTGAGCCACCTTCCCATCCCGTGTCTTGTATATTGTAGCCTATTGGAACACATGGAGGGCAGATAAATCTCTGCTTAACAGAAGGAATGCCAATGAGGATCAGACTTTGTGCTGGTCAATAACAGGAAAAATTCCATATAGAAATCAAATGTACTGAATTTAAGTATAGTTGACATGAATTGTAGTTAATTTAAACATTAGAAGTTGGATAATGTCTTAGAGTTTGATTCAATTGATAGAAGCACAAGATTTCCTTACAGTTCTAAGATAATGATTTATACATGAAACCTGTCTGTCATATCCCAAGCATGATGAACACAAACATGGTAGATCTTGCAAGATCTGATCATTACTTTTGAGAAGCCTTCTGATGGGAATCATTTCTATCTACCTCAAAGAAAGTTCCTGCTTTGCTTGTATGTCTGATTAATTTCATGAGATATCAAGCTCTGCCAAACCATCCTTTCTTTTATTCATACCTAAGTGTCCATGTTTTTTGTTTCACTTAAAGATATTTCCAAATTCTCCATTTAATGACAAATCATGGTCCTTTATTTCTTCTCTTCCATGTTGGTTTGTTTCAATTATCTTAAATCACATTGTATTTTTCTATGGATAGAAATACTGAAATGCTTCTGTTTTTCAGGATTCATAAAACAGCTATCAAAATAGAAATTTGTAGACCAAAATCATACTGTCCTCAGTAACATCAAATAGTTTAATTTGCAGTACATTGTTGGTATACACTAGTTATATAATGAAGAATATTGCCACTGAGAATACATAATTCTCAAAGTTTCCTTAGGGTATAACAAAAAAATCTTTGGCATATTTTAAATAAAATTAAATATAAAACTAAACATAAAACTAAAAATGTCACATATGTTATGTGACATATCTTTTATATATACTAAACACTTCAACCCATCTTTCTATTAAAATGCAATTGAATTTCATGTGTTCTACATAAATCTGTCAATAGACTCAAGTTGTAAATTCTATAATCATAAGTTATAATGCAGGAAATTTCCATGTAGTATATATTATTCGTGGTTAAATAATGCAAAGGCATATATATATATATATATATATATGGCTTTATGTATATATCCATACATTCACAGATATTACAGTATAACTTTTATATGTATATTTTATAGTATATATAGTAACAATATTTGTATAAGTAAAAATATATGACATATAAACAAAAACATTTATCTGGGAACTTGTCTCTCTCTTGCTGTTTTCACTTAATATTTGTGACTAGTAGCTTTGAGAAATCCTAAACAACATTAATCTTACTTTAGATGACTATTAATCAAAAATGTGAATTAAAAAGATATGTACAATGATCAAGTATATCTACAAGGAAGGCTAAAGAACGTTTTTGGCAGAAGGTGATTAGTATAGCCACAAGGAAGGCTAAAGAACGTTTTTGGCAGAAGGTTATTAAGTTATAGAAGTGTCTTTTTTGTGAAACTGTCTCCTAATAAAAATATTGATGAGTAAAGAAACTAAACAAGGAAATAATAATACATAAAGATTGATTTATTGCGGCTATATAGACCATAGAGCGTGTACAGATGTCTAAGCAGAACAATTTACAAAGAATCAGTAGGTGATGTGTAGATGAAAAGTGTGACACATACATTCACATTATTCCTCTACTCTATACTCTATACTCTTCTCTATACTCTATTCTACTGAATTGGAGTCCACCAATTCATACTAAAAGGAAATGGGACTTTGTCATCTGAATTCAGGCTGGAAGTCAACACTTCCTTTGTCATATGCGGAAGTGTGGCTGAGTTCCATCAGTTCTTAAAACGGAAGTGAGGTTTATGAATTACATCACAATAATGGTGACTCCAACCAGAGAAGTCATTATACAGAAGTAGCTGTTGCTATGGAAAAAGTATTAGTGGGATATCCTCCGTCGTGGGGAGGAAGAGATCCTGGCTTGTTTGGTGAATCCAGTTAACTGAAGGAGACAGGTAACAGTCCCTTGCCTTCTCCTCATACTTTTACGTCTTAGACATGTAAATCATCTATTTGGCTTGTGTATTTGACTGAGACATTTCTCCCTTTCTACCCCGGACATCCCAAATGTAGTTCTAATTATTTTCTCCAAGTAGGCAGGATTGTTCCATGGTAAAAGAATGAAAATTCTTTACTTCCTTAGATTTCAGAAAATAGCTATTTCCATTCTATAGAACTTGAAATTTACTTTTATTCCCCTCACATTTATTGGCAATAGTATGTTTAATGTCTTCTGGCTCTGTCTGCTCCATGGCCACTAGACACTGTGCTACAGAAATTCACTACCTATTGAACCAAAGCCCAATCTCAAACTTTGACTCTAACGACTGTCATGATTCCTTTGTAACACATATCTTCTCTAAGAAGCAGTTACTTGAATAATACTCCGTAATGATCTTATACTCTGAATAGAAAATCATGATACACCTATGAGAATGGCAAATGCTCCTTCAAATAAGTGCATATTTTTAATAGGCACTAGATATTTGTAAATTGTAATTTGGAAATTGTTAATTCAGACATCCATAATTTAGAATACCTTTTCCAAATTCGCTTAAAAGTTGTCATGATGCATCATCCTCTGTTTGATATGATAAAGAAGAAAGGCCTGAAAAATACAAATTATTTTGAGTTGAAAACTTATACATTTCTATAGCTTGTTATAATCTGTGCAGTAGAGATATCAATATATTTCAAGTGTGTATAGCAACAAAATGTATTAGAGATGAATAGGTTCTACCCAGTTGTTTTTCATATCGCTGAGGAAATCAGAACATTTAAGGCGTGGTTTTTGAAGTATATAGTCTCTCACATTTTTTTTATCCGCAGGACTTGCTGATATTTATCTGCCTGTCAAAATGGAAAAAGGTAAACATATTTACGCATTTGTTTGGGGAAATTATTTTAAATGATCTAGTTCACACTATTTTTTCTTTTTTTATAATCACAGAAAGTAACTTGACAGCAGCTGAGAGAATAAAATAGTAAGATTTCTCCTGAGTGAATCTGAAACTTTAGACATTTTGATAATTATAACTTTGATTTTGATGTGCTAGATTGAAAGGTGAAAAAGAATGTAAATTATGGGCATATTCTAGATTGAAATGTAAGAAAGCAATAAAATCAGGGCACTCAATGCATGTATGTTCACAGAAGATAAAACAAGTTAGCAGTTCCACTTGACAAATCAATAATTTTTATCTGGAATACATATTTCTATAATATTAAAAATAATAACTACCTAATATGAACTGAGAATACATCAGAAGTGAAATTCCAGAGTAATATTCTTTGTTATATTTTGAATTTAAAATCTCCAAATAGGGATTCCTGAGTTAAGGTAGAGTTCAAACGTGAAATAACATTGAAGACCTTCATGTTCCCAATTCATTGATTTTCCCGAGCTATTTTTCTCTTTCAGAGGAATCTGTGGATCCTGAGAGGTTATTGCAGTGTCCCTATGATAAGAATCACAAAATCAGATCATGCAGGTTCCCATACCATCTTGTGAAATGTAGAAAGGTAATGTTTCATTAGAACATATTGATATTACATAATTTCTTTAGTTCATGGATTGAGTATTATTTTTAAGATAAATTGTGGGAAATATATATGAAAGAGTCAATGAAGGCAGAAATGTCATAGATATTTGTATTTCTTCTGAAATCTCTGCCTCATGTAATGGAAAGTAAGACAACAGAAGTCCAACTTGCTTATTTCTAGAGATGTATTTCTAGATCTCTATTCAAAGCAAGATGTTTTGTGCGTGCAATTATGTCAAACTGTGTGTGCCATATTTCACAGAGTTTAGGTAGTTTCCTTTTCCTCCCCATTGCCTAATAGCCAAAATGTAAATTAATTGTATTCCTAAACGTTAAATTATTTTGTTATGACACCCATTTTATTATCATATGGCCTAAAATTCAGTTTGGATACTTTAGTTTTCATGGCATGGTTGTAAACTGAAAACATGAGAGATGTATTGTGTCTCTTTTCCATAGTTAGGGTATTGACTATAAAATTGCTCTTTGTTTCATCAAAAATTTCACAAAATTTGAAAGATCACAGAACTGTGGGTAGAATATTTTTTTCCTTCTTCATGTAACACTGCTACAATAAGTTCCAGAGAAAATGGGGCTATGTGATTCTTTCTGGTGGAGGCATAGAATTCCATTTTATATAAATACATTTTCTTGATCCATTCATCTACTAAGGGGCATGTTGTTTGTTCAAAATCTTAGCTATTGCAAATAATGCTTCAATAAACATAGTTGTGCTGTGAGTTTTAGTATGGTCTTGTTTGTGATCATTTGGGTAAATGCCAAAAAGTGGGAATGCTGGGTCACAATGGAACGCTATGTGAAGCCTTTTCATGAAACTCCATGCTACTTTCCAAAGTGGTTGAACAAGTTCATACTCCCAACGATAATGCTGTAGGATTCCCTTCTGGCCACATCCCATCCATGATCTGTTGTTATTAGCGTTCTTGATTATAGCCTTTCTAACTGGGGTGATGTGGAATGTCAATGTTTTGATTGTATTTCTTTTATGGTTAGGTAGGTTGAGCATTTCTTCAGTCTCTATTGGCCATCCTTCTTTCTTCTTCAGAGAAGTTTCTCTTCAAGTCTTTAACCCACATAATTATTGGGCAGTTCTTTCTTTGAGGATTTGTTGTTGGGGGATTTAATTTTTTGAGTTCCAGGTATATTTTAGATATGAATCCTTGTTCGTTGTATGGCTGGTGAAGATCTTCTCACAATCCGTGGGCTTTCTATTGATCTTGCTGGGTATGTCCTTTGAATTCCAGAAGCTCTCCAACTTTATGCAACCCAAACTTTCTTTGATTTGTTGTGTTTCTAAGTCTCTATTAATCAAATTTTGGCCCGTGCCAAGGAAACCTAAGGTTCTCTATCCAATCCTATAATGTTCTCAGGGTGGCTGTAGGACTTTGGGTTGATTTCTAGGTTTTCCATTCTATTCGATTGTAACTTGTGCTAGTACCAAGCTGTTTTGATTACCATGACTTTGTCGTAGAGTTTGAAATTAGGTATTGATATTCCTCCAGGTCTACTATTTCTATTAAAGATCATTTTTGCTATTCGGGATCTTTTATTTTGGAATATTGATAGCCATCTCATTGAATTTGTATGTAGATTTGGGAAATACTGCCATTTTCAGTATGTTGGTTCTTCCAATCCAGGAGCATGGTAGGTTTTTCCACTTTCTAAGTTTTCTTTTGATTTTCTTTTCAGATTTTTAAACTTTTCATCATAGAAGTCCTTCTTTGGTTAAGTTGATACCTAGGTATTTTATTTTTTGTGGGGCTATTAGGAATGGAGTTTCCTGATTTCAGCCATGCTTTTCTCATGGTTGGCATACAGAAAAGCCATTGATTTTGGGGGGTTAATTTTATAACCTGCTATTTTGACAAAGTTTCTAATCAGCTCGAGTAATTTGAGAGTGAAGTCCATGGGATTTTTAAAATACAAGAGCATTTCCCCTGCAAAGAGGGAGGGTTTTTACTTCATCTTATCCTATTTGGATCCCCTTTAGGTTGTCTTAATGTTGTAGCTACGCATTCTAGTATTGAACAGAAGTGGAGAGAGTGAACATCCTTATCTCCTTCCTGAGTTTAGAAATAATGGCTTTATTTTTTTACCATTGATTACAATGCTGGCTGTGGGTTTGTCTTTATTGTATTGAGAAATGTTCCATTGATCCCTATTTTTTCCAGAGCCTTCATCAGAAAGGAGTATTGGATCTTGTGAAATGCTTTTTCTGCATCTATCAAGATAGATAGATGGTTCTTATCCTTGCTCTTGTTGATGTGATGAATTATACTGATTTGCGCATATTGAACCAGCTTGGATCCCTGAAATGAATCCTGTTTGATAGTGGTACATGATTTTTGGATGAATTGTTGAAGTTGATTGACCAAAATTTTGTTGAGAAGTTTTGCTTCAATGTTTGTCAAAGAAATTGTTCCATAATTCCCTTTCCTTAATGAGTCCATGCCTCACTTTGGGATGAGGGCTTTGATGGCTTCATACAAAGAATATTGTAATCAAATTTTCATTCAATTTCATTGAAGAGTTGGAGGAGTATTGGTGTAAGTTCTACTTTGAAGGCCTTGTAGATTTCTACTGGAAATCCATTCAGTCCTGGTTTTTCTTAGATGGGAGGTCTCTTATTGCTGCTCCTATTTCGATGCTTGATATGGCTCTGTCAAGTTGGTTTAAATCACCTTAGTATAGTTTTGGCATGTCGATATTTGATAGGAAATGGTCCATTTCATCCAGATTCTCAAACTTATTAGCACAAAGGTTTGAGATGTATTCCCTTATAATTCTCTGAATCATGGAAACATCCTCATCTGTTTGTTTATTTGGGTGTGGGCCCTTCTTTTTTGATAACATTTGCTAAGACTGTCAATTTTGTTAATATTTTCAAAAACCAACTCTTTTTTTTTATTTTTTCTATGGTTCTCTTGGATTCTAATTCTAATTCTGATTTAATTTTAATGATTCCTTTCTATCGACTGATTGGGTTTAGCTTGCTGCTCTTTTTCAAGGAGTTTCAGATGTCTCATTAAATCGTTGGTTACAGATCTCTCCAATTTGTTGATGTTAGAACTCAGAGCTGTAAACATGCCGCTGAGTACTGGCTTTGCTGTGTCCCAGAGGAGCCTGGAATTTGTAGGATCATTTTTGTTGAAAGTCATGAACATTTGAACTTCTTTTCTAATCTCTTCCATGACCCATTCATGATTCAGCAGTGTGTTGTTTGGCCTCCATGTGTTACGGGACTTTCTTTGGTGGCTTTTGGTACTGAGTTCTAATTTTATTCCCTTGTGGTCTGAGAGAATGCAGGGCATATTTTCTATCACTTCTCATTAATTTTAAATTATAGTCTATTTTATCTGATATTATGATTGCAACTTCTGCCTGTTTCTGTAGGCTTTGTGCAGATAGAAGTATCTTGCTTTTTAATCAATCTAGACAGTCTGTGTTGCTTAATTGGAGAGTTAAGTCCATTAACATTGAGCGGTAGGACTGAGAGTTGTTAGAGAGTTCCTGCCATTTATCCACCTTCTTGGGGGCTGCAACAACTGGATTCTTCCTATGGATATTTGATTCTGATTTTGGGTGCAGTTTTTTGGCTTTTATTGTGGTCTCGTTGGTTTTCTATGTGTAGGACATCTTTAAGTATCTTTTGTAGGGTTTGGTGGAAATATATTGTTTTAGTTTTTCTTTGCTATAGAGGGTTTTTATTTGACTTTTGATTTGAAGGAGAGTTTAGCTGGGTACAGTATTCTTGGTTGATATTTGTTTGTCTTTAGGGCATAGCATATATCATTTCAGGTTCTTCTTGCTTTAATTGTATCTGTGGGTATTCTAATTGGTTTTCCTTGTATGTGATTGATCTTTTCTCCTTTACAGCTTTAAGGATCCTTTCCTTGCTCTGAATTGGTCCTGTGGGATGTCCTGTTCTGGTCTGTTCTATTTCACATTCTACAAGCTTCTTGTGTCTAAATAGGCCTTTTTGCACATTTGGGAAGTTGTCTGTTAGGATCCTGTTAAATTTCTTAGACCATTAACTTCTCTAGATGCTTCTCTATACCCATTATCCTCAGATTAAGCCTTCTAATAGTGTCTTCCAAATGTGGAATAAATCTCTCATATTTCTTGGATTTGTCTTGGATAGTTGTATGTTTTCCTCTCTATTGTCTAGGCTGTCTTCAATCTCTGAATTTTGATCCTCTGCATGGTCTAACCTACTGTCAAGAATTCCTACTTTGTTTCTAATTGCCTTTCCATCTAATTGGTCGAGTTTGATGGCTTCAAATTCGTTGTTGGAACTTTGTTTTACATCTTGTATGAACTTCTTTACTTACTTACTTGATTGGTTATGGTTTCCTTGGAGTCCCTTTCCTTCAACATTTCCTTTGTGGTCTCCCTGGATTCCTTCACCTGTTTATTCATGGAGTCTATGAATGCCTCTATTGATCGTTGTCTATTCTCATCCCACTCATGCAATTCCTCTATTAGACTGATTAGCTTCCTCTCACTCACACAATTCCAGTTTCTCTTTAAGTGTTCTCAGCCTGCTCATGCAATTCCTATCTTTATATTTGACTCTTCTTAGCATTCTCCTATATTAATCATTGAGTAGTTTCCTAACACTCTCAAGATTCATGCATTAATTTTTGGTTTGCTTCCTCTTGTTCCCTATAATGCTCACACTGAGTCCTTTGCAGGTTTTCAATATTTTCATTCACAATGTTTACCAATAGTGTTTGTAAAGTTTTTTGGAAACTCTTCTCTGGATTATTCTTTAACTCTTCTATCACCTGATTATCATAAATGTCATTTTTCTTTTTTTCCCTCTGGCTTCTTTTGCCCATTCGTTATGAAAGTAATAGAAATTTTGTGCTAGAACATTAAAGGCAAGCATTAACCAGAGTCCTATAGCTGCACAGTCAAAATGGCTACAGAAACAATTCAATTCAATTAATTCAATTTATTCAACATCAAATAACTATGGATTAATGGGCTAACAACATCAAAGAGGAAACCCAGAAATTACTAGTTTTAGGGAGAATTATGGGGAAAAATAGGATTAGAGGGATGTGGAGTGGAAAAAGAAGAATGAAGTTAAACAAGTCGTAATCTCAGAGAAGGCAATAGATTGGACAGAATAATAGGAAACAGATTTTAAAAAAACAAGAAAAATGGAAAAAATTAATTTTAAAAATTACTTAAAATTATGTAAGTACAAAGAAATATTGATAAGAGGAAAGGATAGGATGAGAGGAGAGAAGAAATTAAAAAAACATGAAAAACTAAAAAATAAAAATTCCTAAAATCGGAATACTTGAAAGTTGTATTTGTATAAAGAGATAAGACTACTGTTAAAAAGTTAAACCTAAGAGGTTGTGAATTGAGTAATACATTGCTGGATTAAGTATGTACACAATGGGGGATAAGTTCTAATAATCGACAATGGGTATATATCTTGGGATGAGCAGAACAGCAATTAAGTCATGTAAAAAAGGGTGAATGAGAAAAAAAGAAATGAAAACATGAGAAATAAGAAAAAAAGGACCAAAAGATCAAAAGAGATTAAAACATAAAAGCACACACACAAATATACCTAAAATAAAACTCACAAGAGAAAAAATTATAAACATTTTTTAAAGAAAATAAAAAATTAAAAAAAACATATACAAAGAGTTCTTTGATTTTTTTTTTCTTGGTGGGAGGAGAGATCTTGTATCTCCTCTGTGTCCACAACCAGTCTCTTGGTGGAGTTTCTGGTCTGCTTGTGGTATTTGCTTTTTCTGTTGTTTGATTAGTTTCTTAAGTCAGTTCGTTTGAGCAGGCAGAAAAATGCTCTGCATTACCCAGGATTTTATTGCTCTCCTCCCAGCCTAGTTGAGTGGGAAGGAGGTTTGCTTTGAGTATCTCAAGAGAGGGAGATGTCTGTTTCCTCTAGCTTGGAGATGATGTGATAAGGCTAGGTTCTGGGTAGGGTTGAGTCCTATGAGCTTTTCCCTGAGTGGCTAACTCCTGAAAAACTCAAAGAACCTAGCCTGGAGCCATCCTCAGTGATTAAGTTTACTGAATTTTAATTGTCTCTCTGGCTCTGTTTACCCAGTGAAGAAAGTCACTCTTCCTGGGGTGGAGCTACTCCCTGGCAGGGTGACTTTTCCCTGGGTGGAGCTGAGCCTGGCAGGTAAGGTCAGGTTCCTGTGACTTTGCTAAATGGCTTCTTTCAAGTTCTTCCAAGGCCTGAGTTGGGGCTAGCTATTCGGCCAGGCCTTTGTCAAAGATGGAGATCTCTGGCGGGGGTGGGGGTGGGGGGTGGGAAGGGTCAGCCTTCCCAGAGCTGCTCTGTGAGAATGCATGAGGATGTCAGGGTTCTACTTATACCATAATCTTGTTTTCTGGGCCATCTCTGTTCTGTGATCTTCAGGATGATGATTTCCACACCTTCTCAATTCTTGCTGATGTTGAGTAGGGTCTGGCACCTGTATCCCAGACTCTGTCTGTTAGTATAGTGGCCATGGGCACTGCATCTGCCACAGCCTCTGCAGTAGCAGCTATCAGCAAGTGCTCAGATAAGTCTCCTTGCTGGATTTTCCCTCTCTGGCCAGACTCTGTACTGTGATGGCATGTCTGGTGTGATTCTCTAGCCCAGAAATGCTCACTGGAACACTAAAACTGCTTTCTATGTGAGAGCTTGTTTTTCCTCCAGCTTCTCTTCCGCCATCTTCCTCAGGTCTTCTGACAAATAGGGGTTATGCTGTGGGAGAGGGACATACAATGCAACAAAATAATCACATGATATCTTTGAAACAATAAGTTTGAAACAATAGCAAGAAAGGAAAAACCCTTCTGTCCTTATCTTGGGGTTAATTTAACAACATAAACTTATCCGACCTTTCTACTTGTCTCAGACATATACTAGCTATTGCAAATAAAAGGAAACCATGTGAACTATGTTTCTTTGGGCCTGGCTTACTTCACTTGATATAAATTTTTCCTGTCTTTCCATTTGCTAACAAATGGGGCAATTTCATTCATTCTAATGGAGGCATCAAGCACTGCTGCCTCCTCTTTAGTTTTTCCCCTATCATCCCCTCCCTCCCACTTCCTCAACTGTATTCCTCCCCTTACCTAGCCCCCCCCTTAATTGTGAGTTCATTTTTATGGTCCTATGTACATCGCTTTTGAACAATTCTGCTTTTCCTAAACATACACTACTTATTCCAAATAAGGGAAACAATGGACCTATGTTTCTTTGGGCCTGGCTTACTTCAATTAACATGTATTTTTCTGATTGCATTTACTAACAAATGGAGCAATATCATTCATTCTGATGTAGGCATAGAATTCCATTATATATATATTTACCATGTTTTCTTAATCCATTCATCTACTGAGGGGCATCTGTTTGGGTTCTATATCTTAGCTATAGTGAATTATAGTGGCTGCTTGTATGTGATCACTTGCGCAAATGAAAAAAGTGGGATTGCTGGTCATAGAGGAGCTCTATGTGTAGTCTTTTGAGGAAACTTCATTCTGCTTTGGAATACAGGTTAACCCATTGTAACAATGAGATATACAAGAGGCTATGTCGAAAATGAACTTTATAACTTTAGGTGCGGTGAAAGGGGAGGGCAGGAGGAATTGGGAAGATGGGGAAGGAAGGAATCTTAGGGGAAAAACAAAGAAGGAAATGCTCTATAGGAAATGTACTTATTCTTATAAATGTAACTCCTCTGTACAGTATCTTTACAATAAAAATATGTATTAAAAAAAACAAGGATGAACTAGCACATTACTCATACCGTGGTGTCAAGCCCATGGTTGGCATCCTACCCAAAGAAATCTAAAAAAAGCAAAATTGAAAATATTGCTTCATATTTGAACTTACACAGAATCATCCTGATATTGCTGCCAAATTGGCTACTTGTCCCTTTAATGCTCGCCATCTGGTTCCACGAGATCAGCTCAGTGAACATATTGCAACTTGTATGGACAAAACTTCCCTTGAAGATGATGTAGGTAAGCCTGATAACTAAAACACAATCCAAATCAATGTAGGCCATTTGCACCTGAATCCTACTCTGATGGTAGATTTTTGTTTGTTTGTAGATAACATCACATGGAACGAGAAACAAGACAAGAGTTCCAAATATATATGGCAATATGTTTCCTCTGAGGAAGACTGGGATAAAGGTAAAAATCTTGTTGATTTTTCAGCATTTTCCATTATTGAATGTCAACTTATCTTGTGATGTTGTATGATTTCTTCCTTTAGGAGTGAAATTTAAATTCGTTGTTCAACTTGCATTGTCTTGTATGCTAATATCAATAACATGTATGAAGAAATGCAGTCTTAAATGATTAAAATCCATGTCAAACATTTAAATGATTTGTTTTTGCATATGGCTAAGAACTCATTCTTTTCAATGTTTATTATCCAGCTATCTCGTAAGGCTCTTCAGGCCGTCAACCTTGTAGTTTGGTTTTTTTTTAATCAATGTACAATGTTAGAGCCAATCTAATCCTGCACCTCAATCAAGTATGTATTTCTCCCTTTGGCAGAATCCTTGGAAGATCCTAGCCCAAGTTTTGTTTGGGGCAACATCAAATCCTCTGGCAACAACAGGTGAAGTATATACTGTTTTCTTATGATGCATTAATGTCTGTTAAGATTCAAAGTGAAGGAATAGGATAAATGAATAAGAAACTTTCTGTTCTATATACTCATTTATTTTGCTCACTACAAATGAACTTTTGGATTGCTCTCTGAACTGGTGAAACTGTGATTGGTGGCAAAAGTCAAGTATAGTGTCACTAGAACCGATAAGAAATTCAATTACCCAAATTACTTCAAATCAGAATTACTTTAAATAAATGTTCTTCTCATTCTTTTATAATCAATTTAAATCAGCAAAACCATAGATAACAGTATAATGTTGTACCAATCCTTTTTGTCTCATTTTTCTGGTTTCAAGATTCATTCATCACATCAATTATGATACTGTGAATGACAGTATCTTCAACTGGTAATTGATAAATGTACAGACTTACGGGTGGGTTACCATGTCTTCCTTCTGAAATTGCTTAACGAATATTATAGGAATGGCTATCTGATTTAAATTTACTCCATGAATTAGTGTAAAAATATTTGAGGAGATTCTTGAGAGATTTACAATTTGCACTTTGCATAGATACATAAGAAAATGTGTTTAGAGCTATTTTTAAAGCAGAAATACATACATGGATTTCAAATTTCACATTCCTTAATAAAGTATGAATACATATTGTATATGCTATAGATTGGAAATTCAAAATTACATGTGTAATTACAAAAGTTTTGCTCTCTTGGTGAGTATTTATGAGATAGTTTAAAGAATTGTTATTGCTATAATGAACTTGCTCTTCTAGAGTCACAAGATAGATTGTAGATTTTATTTTAGGAATGTGAATGCATCAAATCTCTCTGACATGGTAAGGTGGAAAATACAGAAAAAATCGAACAGTAATTGGGTTTGCTTGGAATTTTTATAAGCATTTATTCAATTCAGAATCATGTAATTTGTCTTGCTTGCAAATATATGACCTCATCCTTTTTATATTAGATTCAAGTTGTATTGATATTGTCAAGTATTTTATTCCCTGCTCTGTACAGAAAAACGTTCAAGGCCAACAACTAACAAGAAGAATAACCAAAGACAGGAACATAATGAAATTTTCATCAACAATGCCACATATTCACTGGTTTTTCCAAAGTTTCTGATTTTTTTCCTCCCACACAAGAGTCATTTAGATTTTATTCACTCCCTACTCATGCTATCATTCATTTTCTCTCCGAATTTCAGAGAATAATGTTTGATGGTACAGTGATATTTCCTTACTTCATTGTTATTAGAACACTTAATATGATACAATTGAATTGTTAATTCTGTTCTCTTATGATAATATGTCTTACTTACTGAATCATAATTTTTCTGGTATCTGAAAAGTGATTGATACTTAAGAACCTGTAAATTCATGAGACAATCTGTGACAATGAAGGAGGCCATGTTACTTGCTGATTTTTCTCTTAAAGGTTAATCCAACCCTAGACATATATATATATATATATATATATATATATATATATATATATATATATATATATATACATACATACATACATATATATGAGCTGATTTGCATTTGTGATCAGATATTTTTTTACCTGTCCATTTGTAGATGAAAACTTTGTGTCTGGGTGTGTACCAACTGAAATGTTGTACATTATTTTCCTATTGATCAACTCCCATAAGCTAATGCTGGGCATATTGCTATGACTTTTGGAATTTTTGCTGCCTTCAATTATTGATTTTAATCAATCATGATAAAATCATGAATCACAGGTTATGAAGGATTTTTATGTGTCTTCCTCGGTAATGAGTATTGAATCCTTGATTGAGTCATTGATATTCAAGCCTCTTAGCCTGGGCTTGATCCTAGTGATATAGTCTAAATGTTGGTATGCCTCTGGCATAGAATTCTCAGAACCATACTTATTTGAGAAAGAAATGTTAATGTAGAAATGTTAACCTTAGTTAATGGAAATTTTCTACGTTCATTTCAAAGTTCAATATTTCAGTGTTCATACTGAGAGGGGACTTGCATGTGTTTCTTAAAGGTTAATTATTTTTCAAATCTGCTAAATATGTTTACCTGATACCACTTCACAACGTGATTGTGACTTCACAATAGCATTTGTTTTGTCGACACATAAGAATGGAAAAGCCGTTTATTTGTGTGGGCCATGGAATATTTCTTGTAATTGAACCTGAAGGTATTTGCATGGTACCCCTTCATATTTTACTTGCCTACCTAAAGCATATACCTGTTAGTAGGATACATTTCATGAAACAATCACTCTATGTGAATGCATCAATTGACAAATATTGAAATGGAAATCAATTTATCACGTTGATTTAAATTCATTGCATTATATAGTAATATAACATTATATAGTAAAAACACTATGGATTTTTTCTATATAACCACATGAACTTATTTCTTCTCATTTTCCTGGATGCAAGATACATCCTGGAATATTTTACAAGAGACCTAGTTCAGAAACTGAGCAAAGATATGGCTGAGCCTTAATGGGTGACATTAGAAAAGCTTTGATGAACTGGACAATAATCGCTCAAGTAATACATTAACTAGGGTCACACTTCAAATATTCAACGAAGTTTGAATGTGTTGAGATAGCGTGTCCACGTGTAATTTGTGAGGTTTGTATACTAAGATCAAATTTCAATGGAAATGGAAGTGGAAGCAACCATGAATTTTTTTGAAAATAACTGAAGATATATTCTCACTAGTTTTTAAATATTTCTCGAACTACTAGTGAAGTTCTTGTTCATATGCAGAATACAGAAATATATATTCAAGTGTTTTCCATAGAAAGTAATTTCTTTGCAGGAATCATTCTATGATCAAACCATGAGTTCAAACCATTTCTCATAGTTTCATCTACAGCTTACATTTATTAATATACTCACTCAACCAAATGAATTAATTTTGATTTCCATTACCTATTATCTCCCTATTCACCCTTACCTTGAATCCAGAAGTAAACCCCGGTTTTTATGTCCTTATTGAAATTCACCATGTCACTATCCATGTAGACATGGTAAGGTTGGAATATAGAAACTTCAGTAATCAAATCGAAATCTAATTAATTTCCCAATGGAGAATAAATCATACTTCATTTTTCACTGTCCTTAAGTTTGCCTGTGAAAATCATCTTCCATTTCATATATTTATATAATTACAGAGCCTTATACATAACAAAACTGTAATGACATTAGACCTGTTATACAAATCTTACACCAATTATGTATTCCATACAAAATGGCTATTAAAATTTCAATGGGATTTTTCAACCAACATTCTAAAGTATATTCCTTACTATACAAGCTTCTCATCCATCTTAATGATTGCCACATGCAATCTCATCTAAGGAAAGATATTTGGAGTTCTTTCCAAAACTTGTAGCAGCCAAAACCCCAGGTTAATATATGTGTACACAAAATAACATTCAAAACATGTTCTTTTGACAGGGGAAATTGCAACTTGTGAAGATGGCATGATTTTGTGCTAAAAGTGTGATATTTTGAGTGCAAGAGGGTGTGCAACTTTTAGCAATTTCTCAATAAATTTCTAAAATGTTCCAAGAAGAGTGGACTGTATTTGTCGACTGTAACAAAAACACTTTTATGGGACCATATTTGATGGCCACTTCATATTCAACTTGTATGTATTTTGCCCAACATATATATGGCCCCACATATTTATAGTTGATTTGGCACTGTGGTCCAAAACATTTCTGATTCAAAATGGAATCGTTTTTGAAACATATTTTGGGAAGTATTATTGGTAGGACTCTTTTGCAATAAATAGAGTTGAATCTTTTGGTTACAGATGCAGAAGTTCAAGTGCAAATATGGCTCATGTTTATTATTGGTGTTGAAATGGGAGGATTTTTTATTATTGGCATATTTGTACACCTAGCATATAATTTCAAATGTTTCTTGATTTTCCTTCAAAATTTGTGAGCAGGAATGCATTCAGCATTAATTTGTGAAGGACAGTTTGGAACCTGTGGAGTCAGGGAAACCTGTGTCTTTTCTAGTCTGGAAGGGATATAAAGAGAACAGATCTATCTACACATGTCTGTGTTTAGACTATAAACCAATATACATATGTATCCATGGGTAAATTTATGAAAATTAAAATAAATATATGTATCAATGCGATTCATTTTCGTTAAACATTGTCAATGTGTTGTACAGAGTGATTATAATTATGTATGTAAGGCAGTGAATCTTTTTCTTGTCATATGTTAACCTATTGCCCATTAAAGTGTTAGAACTTTATTCTGCTTCAAATTTCCCCTGTCCCTGTTGAAAATGCCATTTTCAATATGTTGTCTTGTGAGGAATTTTTTGGCATTGGTTTCCCCGTTGTCCTTTATCAAAATTTTTTGATTCTCTTTACTCTATTCAGATTAAATTTTATACAATCCACAGGCTACCAGACTCAAATATAGTGACAAGAAGGGAGAAACCCTATGAAAACTAAAGGAAAAAAAAACTATGAAAAAATTTGATTTTCACATTTTTTTTAAAAACACCAACAATGATAAACCTCATATTTCTTGGAGTTCATTTTGCTTACCCTAAACTTCTTGTTCATATATACATACCAATTAAGCACTAGCAATCCTCTTCCAGGATGAAATTGGACATACACAAATTAAGACAAAAAGAGAAGTAGGACATCAATGCTTGAAATGAAATGTACTTATTACTTTATCAATGTAATTGTAACCCTATGTATGGTATTTTCAAAAGAAAAAAATTATGACTGTTAGGTAAGTTTAAATAGAAGCAGGATAAACGCATTGAAATGAAAAAGCAATATTCAATAAATAGTGTTGTAATGCTCGTTAAATGCCTATAAAAACTTAACGTTAGATTATACATCACCTTTTGTCAAACACTTTGCAAATGAATCAGACCTCGAAGTTAAAGAAAATACTCAGAATGGAAGCAATAGAAAAATACTAGATCTCTTAGAACAGGTTGAAACTTTCTCA